ATTGATTAACACAAACAAAAGTTTTATGAGAAAATTTATTTAATGTTCATTTATTAAAAATGAGAAATATACAAATGGCGGACGCAGAATTTATACACAACATTTGCGCTGTTCTTTATTTTTACTTTTTGATTTCACCCTAAATTCTTGAAATTTCATCGAATGAAACAATAACTCTAGTATTCAAACCTTATAATCATTTATTCTTTATTAAATGAAGACTTGTGATTATTATTAATTCTGGACTAGTATTTTTTTTATCTTATTTCTTTTGCTTTTCCACCAAGTAGTAATAGTCTTAAGTTGTCTGAATTTCTTAGATGAAGCCTTGTCAATTATTATTCATTTTCGACTAGTATTTCTTTCATCTTATTTCTCTTGCTTTTCCATCAAGTAGTAATAGTCTTAAGTTGTCTGAATTTCTTAGATGAAGCCTTGGCAATTATTATTATTCATTTTTGACTAGGATTTCTTTCATCTTATTTCTCTTGCTTTTCCACCAATTAGTAATAGTCTTAAGTTGTCTGAATTTCTTAGATGAAGCCTTGGCAATTATTATTATTCATTTTTGAATAGTATTTCTTTCATCTTATTTCTCTTGCTTTTCCATCAAGTAGTAATAATCTTAAGTTGTGTGAATTTCTTAAATAAAACATTGGCAATTATTATTTTAGCTTTTTCATTTCAGATGAACAGTCAATGTAGTATCCTGTGACAATATAAGTAATAAAATACGAGTTCTTAACTCGAACTCACTTCCTTTTTGTTCTGGAAGCTTGTTAATTCCTACCAGCAGCTCTGTTGATTCAGCTTCAGAAACTCATGAGTGACAGAAGGTCAAATCTAACGACATGTAATCGTGTGTTTTCTTGATTGCTCAACGCCATATTTGTTGTTTTTAGGTGCATTATAATTAGCATCTTTATTTTTTAAAAGTAATAAATGTAGCATTTCCATATTAATGATGGCCGTGGATTGAAGTGAGATTATCTGCAACAAAAACCAAAATTAACTTGAAATAAATATTTATTAAAAGTCAATAATGGTTGTTATTCCTTGTTTTTATTATTTTTAGATGAAGAATCTGCTTATTAAAGATATTTATCTATAATTTTTCCCAGTTCAATCATTTTTAAGCGGCATCGTTGGCGTTAGGATGACGTTTCCTTTATAGCTAATTCATCTTCAGCCGATAAATCAGGCCTGGTTTACGCGAGATCGAAAATTGTACACATAAGTTTCGTTTGTTCTCAAGTCTGCAAATATCCACCTGGGATGTGAGGGCTTTAACTCTCTTCAGGAAATGACGTCGGAACACTCTAAGAACGACATTCTAAGAACGACATTCTAAGAACGACACTAGACATAAAAGATAAAGGAATGAAACCTTCGATATTTTTGACATTCCTGCAAGTTTATCAAATTCAATTAACACCTCAAGATGAAGATATTGTTTCCAGTGAATCAAAGGATGATAAGGCGACCTGAATGTGCAACATTCTATCCAAAGAATATGACCAAGACATGCAAAGTTGGAATTAAAACAAGAAAAGTCTTCTTGTTAAAAAACTTCAGAAAGTTGAGTTAAATTGAGAGAACGAAAATCTTATTAAACTAATTTTACTTGTTATTTGCTTTTCAGACTCTCTTAGGCTATCGTATATCCTTGGACCATAACTTGGTCTATGTCAACATATATTGTACATGTGTAGTACATATGCCTTGTGAATTTTGTAATTGTTACCTAAAGAATTTGCTTCCAATAAGACTAAAACGTGTATTCTGTCCCTGGTGAGTTTGTCTTATATTAACAAAATCTTAGAATATGGCTACATAAAATCTTTGACACTTTTTGTAGTCATTCTGTGACTTCTTTCTTTCGATCTGTTTATGCCATATTCTTCTTCTAAGTGCCACGTCCCTTCAAGATCTTGACGATCATAGCTCTCCACAATTTCCTATACTTTGTAGCTCTTAATAAATTTTGTCTTTTTTTATTTTTTTTATTTCTGTAACATTTCCGAGTCGATCATCGTTCACAGCAACAAATGTAACTCTTTTGTTGTGGTCAGCTCGGGGTGGATCCTGGTTTGATCAATGAAGTGATTCCGAAAAGAGGCACCAGAAAGAAAGTCCATATTGAGATGGTATGGTAAATTCATGAAGGATGAGTGTTTGTGCGCAGCTAAGAGAACCAGACGACGCCCCTGAACTTCAGATGATACGGTTGAGCGAGTTCGAACTTGCCTTCGAGCGGAGCCCCAATAAATCGATCAAAAAAGCCACTAAGGAACTTCAGTTTCCTACAACAACTGTTTACTTTACTTGCTTGTACTTGATGCGGCATTCACCCTGGGCGGATTGAGCCGGCTTCTTCCTGTTGTGAGAAGAAGATTCTTGGGATAAATTACAGAAGTAGGGTACCCAGGCCTACTCGGATAACGTTCTTGCTTGCCGCGGGTTCCCACAGACGCAGAGACAGGAACGACCAGAAGCCGCTGGTTGCCGATGCAGACGCTCCTTGGATTTTCACCAGAGCCCTTGTTAGCCGGGCGTGTGTCAGACCTGTCCGCCTTGGGTGGCCCTACCAGGAACGAAGTTCCGGACGGCATAGCTCTGACACTACCGTTTTACACCCCCCCACCGACTGTGACGTAAGGGTTGGACTTACGGTCAAATCATGCTGAAAACACCGGTTCTCGTTAGATCACCGAAGTTAAGCATCGTAGAGCCAGGTCAATACTTAGATGGGGGACCGCTTGGGAACACCTGGTACTGTAAGCCCTCAAAGTCCAACAACAACTGTTTGGCATGTCTTAAAAAGATGACTGCACATGACACTTTACAAGCTACAGTTAACCCAACAGTTGCACTGATAAACCAGCTCGTCGAGACTTTTTTCATTGCAATGCAAGAGAAGTTGGAAGATGACGGATTTGATGTGTGCCGTGTGAGCAACGGTGCTCACATTGAACATCTTTGAACATTCCATGTTAAACTTGAGATTAAATTCTTTCAGAATATGTCAGGCGCGTTTTTATATCCTTAATAGTTTTCGAAATATTTAATGTCAAAATGTGGCCAAGACTTTTGGAATATCTTGTATCATGCTGTAAGCAAGCATCTTTATCTATAAAAGGCAGGATGTGTGTGTGTTTCTTCATCAGTAATAGGATTTGAAAAGATCTCAGTAAGAGTGTTTGTTACTCCTTATTAACTAGAATGTCATGTGATCGCTCCAGCCTGGAAATAGTCCGATAATACTGGCTAATATCAAGTCATTTAACAACAACCAGGTGTCCATCTCTATCTATAAAAGGCAGGATATGTGTGTGTGTGTGTGTGTGTGTGTGTGTGTAACGAATGCACGGCCGCAATTTTCGACGGATTTGCACCAAAATTTACATGCACTCCAAGTTAGCGGGAAGGCCAAGACCGACTTTGCATTTCCCAACTCCCATCGATAGCGGAAATAATCGATTTTTTCATGCTTCTACGGCAGTTTTCATGTAGTTTGCAGCCATTTTCTACTGGCCAGAGTGAGAGCCATTAGGTGGCTGCCATGAATAGGCAAGAAGATTCTATTGGCCAGCGTGAGAGCCAACAACTGACTGATACGAATGTTAACTAGCATGCTAGCATGCAAAAAAAATCGATAGCTGCGTTCATCACAAGTGGGAAAAATTTAAATCTGCATGGCACTTAACTCCAATTGGCCCTTCGCCTGCTTAAACTCAACGTTGATTCTGATTCCGTAGAACTGGGTTAGGTGTGAAAAAGTATTTGTTGTTAACATTCTTTTTTCATTCGGTTTTTCCAGTTACGAGTCCTTTTTCAAAGCTGATCGTTTTGTGTTCATTTTGTTTAGTTCTTTTTTCGTAACAGATTTAATGTTTAGTATAGAGCTTAGAAAAAATTTGCAGTGTGAGATAGGCAAGAAGTAAGGCATGTAGCAACATCAGCACGGCAAAGGGCACTCCTTTAAAGGCAAGGAAGGGCAGAAATATTTTAAGTCAAGTGATAGCGATTGCTGTATGAGTCGTACAATTTTTGAATCAAGCACGGGCAACGCCGGGTCATCCTGCTAGTTTCTAACTATAAAGGACCATCAAGACTAATTCCCCAATAATCCTACTTTATGACTAATAAACCCAACCAAAAGTGAATTGGGTAAAATAAACCAAGAAATATTCAAACCAATGTATGACTCATTAAGGATCGCTACACAACCCAATCAATGGAAGGAGACAGTTGAGGGCATTTCTTGGTTCCAAAAATTACTAAGATAAATATGTTTTTATAAAATATAATATTAAAAAACTTTATCCATCTATATCTAAAAAAAGGTCTGTCTGAGGCTTTGTACTTCGCCAAAGGCTTCGTAAATATAACACTCGAACAAATGGACCTAATTTTACATTGCCGTAAATCAATTTTATTCCACAAGGGAGAAACTTGGATTAAAAAATCAAATAAAATCGACTTCGATGTTCCACAAGGGTCTTTTGATAGTGCTAGGGTTTCAGAATTAATAGGCCTACATATTTTATATGAAATCAACAGAATTGTACATCTAAACAACCACGGTCTGTATAGGGACGACGGGCTGATGACAGCGCCAGACAACAGAAGAACAAATGATACTATGAGAAAAGCGCTTTTCAAACTCTTCAAAAGCCTCGACTTTGAAATAGGAGTCGAGATGAATAAGAAAATTGTTAAATATTTGGGTGTAGAATAAAATCTACAAACTGACAGTGTCTCCCAATACGAAACCCAACACAAAATTAAAATACGTGAATGTTAGATCCAAGCAGTCTGCGAGTATAATAAAGCAAATCTCTAAAGGAATAAAGTTCAGGTAATCTAGAAATTCCTCCAATAAAATAATTTTCGAAGATAAAAAGGAAGAAGATGAAAAGCTTTAAAAAAAGAGGGGCATAAAACAAAACTGGAATTTAAACCTCAAATAAAACAACAAATAAAAAAAATACGAGTAAAAGAAAGAATATTATTTGGATTCACCTCCTCATCTTTTAACTTCGAAGACAAGTATAAAATAGGGAACATATTTTTCAAATTACTTAATAAACACCTCCCCAAAAATTCCGAACTATAAAAATATTTAATAAAAACACAGTTAAATTAAGCTGCAGCTGTACATATAATTTAGAAACCACAATAAAAAGACAAAACTGCAGAAAATTCAAAACTAATGCTCCGCAAAACATCGTTAACAGTAATATATGCAACTGGAGAAATAAACGCAGATGTCCATTAGATGGAGTTTGAAAAATTGAAGCAGTAATTTACAAAGGAGAAGTAATAGACGAGAAAAAATATACATAGTGTGTGCTGAGGGTAACTTTAAAAAGACGTGGTATAATCAGAAGTCATCTTTTAAGCTAGAAAGTCTTAGAAATTCCACTAAACTATCCAACCATGTGTGGAAATTAGAGGAGAAAAATAAAAAAGATCTGATTGTAAACTGTAATATTTAAAAAAAAACAAACAAACCTTACAACAACCATGATAACAACTGCAACCTTTGTCAACAAGAAAAATTTGCTATAATAACATTTCCAGAAAAAAATGCTTTTAAACCAGAGATCGGGAATTGTGTCCCGTTGTATTCAAACTAAAACGTTCATTTTGGGTTCATTTGGAGCGGGATAAAAAAGAAAGTAAATGTTGTAGATTCCGTGATGAAATCCGGTACCAATAAATAACAAACGCCAAGAATGAATATATGGAAATAATGTATTAACATAATAATACAAACTGGTAAAGCAGGTTAGTAGTTCCAGGAATACGGGTTAGTAGCAAAATATCTATAGAGTCTTTGGTATTGAATTATCGCTGTATGACTTACTGAGTCTACGTCCTCGCTCACTGGGACTCTTGCTCGCTACTTTCGTTCTGTCTGTCTGTCTGTCTGTTACCTTCACCCTCTGTGGCTCTGTCTCTCGGGTCTTCACGTATCCGTAGTATATGTATATACTGGGTGAGTCCATTTGGGTAAAAAGGGGAGAACTCCTCAACAGTAAGTCTATTTCATTTAATTTCCAACCGATACATTTCCAATACACTTGATTCTCACCTCCTCCTTCACTTTTTCACCTCCTACCACTCCTCAAGTCGTGCGCTTATTCATTTATTTATTTAAAAAATATAGCGTTCATAATTTTTTTTTTATTTTAAAACAAATTCCCCGGAAAAGAAAATACCATTTCATATTTCATTTCTCGTTTTGTTGAGAAAGGACAAAGGCGTTCCGAAAATTCCTATTTTTAAAACCTTTCTCCTCCTTTTTCCATTTGGTCAAAAGGCCGACTAATATACCACAGATATTATTAGTCATATTAGTAATATTATTATTTTTGTTGTCTTTTTTATCGCTTGAATTTCTTTCATTAGCCTATATGTGTGTGCGTATGTATGTTTGTGTGTGTGTTTGAGTAAAAGAGAGAAAGCGAATACACATGAGAGAGAGAGAGAGAGAGTGAGACTGAGAGTGAAAAAAGAGAGAGAGTGTCTGCAAGTAATTCAAGCAGAAGGAATGTTTTCATTTTTATTTATATTTTGAGGAAAAACGAAAGTATTTGTAATAAAATTATGAATTGCGCAACACTTCCTTCGTCGGTTTAAAAAATAAAACAAAAAAAACAAAACTTAATAAAAAAAAATATGACCCCAATGATTTCAATGAATAATTAAGTGTTCTTCGTATTTGATTAAAGAAAATTCAAAAAACAGTTTTGTAATTTTTGCTGTTGTATTTAGAGACATGTGCAACATTATCAGCATCAGCTGTGTACACATTATTGCCTGTTGTAGGATGCAATGTACACCAAACGAACAAGAACTTGTACAGTGTAACCCGGATGTAAGAGAGTTGTCGGGACCGGAGAAGAAGTCTCTTATATCCGGGTTTCTCTTATATCCGGGTTTGGTCTATTTTATATACATTAACACAGGCTCTAATTTGGGACCAGAGAAAATCTCTCTTATATCCGGGTTTCTCTTATATCCGGGTTTGGTCTATTTTATATACATTAACACAGGCTCTAATTTGGGACCAGAGAAAATCTCTCTTATATCCGGGTTTCTCTTATATCCGGGTTTGGTCTATTTTATATACATTAACACGGGCTCTAATTTGGGACCAGAGAAAATCTCTCTTATATCCGGGTTTCTCTTATATCCGGGTTTGGTCTATTTTATATACATTAACACGGGCTCTAATTTGGGACCAGAGAAAATCTCTCTTATATCCGGGTTTCTTTATATCCGGTTTTTATTTTATATATACATTAACACGGGCTCTAATTTGGGACCAGAGAAAATCTCTCTTATATCCGGGTTTTATATCCGGGTTTGGTCTATTTTATATACATTAACACAGGCTCTAATTTGGGACCAGAGAAAATCTCTCTTATATCCGGGTTTCTCTTATATCCGGGTTTGGTCTATTTTATATACATTAACACAGGCTCTAATTTGGGACCAGAGAAAATCTCTCTTATATCCGGGTTACACTGTATATTTATCTTTTCACCCACTCGAATAGAATATGGCACAAGATCTTTAATGCGCAAAGCCCACGCGTACATAGGACATGAGACAAAAAAAGGATCGTTCGGTTGGCAAGGTTGAATTTACTGCTTATAAACGGTCAAGGCACGTCAGCGTAAATGACGGTTCCGTATAGGATGCAGGTTCGAATCCTGTCAAAGGACAAATATTTTCTATGAAAATTTCTCGGACATTCAGGCCGGTAAAT